TTAAATGTTTGAGTAATTATTTTGCGATGAGTACGTGTGCTAACATTACTCGTATTAGAATTAGGGTTTTTTTTTTTTTTTTATATAGAGCTTTTAACATTCGAACACTGTTATACCAATACGGATAGTACCTTTATCATGTGATCATCGGATTTGATTCGAATGTAAAATATTAATAATAGTCAATAATAATAAATTATTAATATATTTCATTTTATACTCGTAAATAATGTGGATATAGAAGACCCAGTATCTATGCAACTCGAGGGTCTAGCAACAAAACCGATTTTCCGGAAAAACGTCAATTGTAAAGAATCGGCCTTAAAATACAAACATAATATTTTATATTGTAAAACGCACGTTTATGAAAAACTGTATTAATTGTGTAATCCGTCTGATGAACGTATCAATCGCAGTTAAAATTCAAAACCATTCTTTCTGTTTATATAATTTAATTTTTAGCAGGTTCGTCGATAATGTTCGGGTATTGAGTATAATCGATTTAAATGGGCGAAAGGCGAATTTTTTTTTCACAATAAAGAATAAAGGCCGCAATGGTAAGTTTCGTAAGTGGCCATTGGTTAAAGTGGGGGAATTTTTTATTGGACGTAAAATTATCAGTCACCTTTAGCTTAAGTCTTCGAGTCCGGGGAATGCTTTTGTTAATGTATTGCTGAGATATTTTTAATGCAATTTTAAAAAACTCAAATCATTTGTATTAGTAGACATATTTATTCAAACCACTATAGTATAAAAGAGGTTAAGTAACTAAATAGTCAATAAACCAATACAAATTACTTAATTATAGGATTTCAATGATAGTTTTAAGATAAATTGAAATAAAAATTACTTGCGAAAATGTATCTTTTTTTTTTAGCCCGGGTATCTATTCAGTACTTACACGTTAAACAATGTGTTGCAATTTTCGAATTCAATACCTCTGTCCTTCGTGAAATCCTGAATAATACGCTCGCGCGCTGCCAGAGTACAATATACACTCTGTATATAACGTTCAGTCAAACGACGTTTCAAATATTTATTTGGAAATAAAAAAGAAAAAAAAAACAGTTTTCCGTAATGCATAGAAATCATTTCGGATATACGAATCACGGCGGAGATTTGATCACGAGGAAAATGAAAATATAATAATATCACATCGCCATTATTTGTTGCCATCCTTATTTTTATAGGCGAAATGACTACCGACTTTCGATTTTCAAACAAAAACCTAATTAAGAGTTTCAAAATATATATATATATATAGATAAATTATTGATGCATTTTGGTATTGAAATGTTTGATATTACTCTCCCCTTACCCAAACTTAAAAGTGGAATATCTCGTGAACGGGTCGACGGAAAAAAAATGTATTTAAACCAATATTCTGTCTACCTGCGTAACTTTTATTATAGGTTACAGTTGAAAATCACAAGCCGGTAGTCGTTTCACCGTCAAAGCTAAGGATGACACAAAATAACGTCGATGTAACATTTCTAGATCTGCTTGTTTCTTATATTGTCCAAACATTTTTTTTATTGAAAAAAGTCTAAATAATGAGTGTTCAACGGTAAAAGAATCACGCCGTACATGTACGTGTATTATACGTTCAACAATGTTACATACGGTATAATGAATTTCGACCGTCATCGGTCGACGGCTTATGTTACTTAAAAGTATAAAATAATTCATTGCTCCGAACTTGCGTACAAACACACACTCTCTCACACACACACACACACACACATATATATGTAAAAGCGGTCGTCGTAGGCAGTTTTAATAAATTACCGCGTGTACACGGATGTTAGTTTCGCAAAGAAACTGGCTATAGGTACCTAAATACATATATATATATATAAATGTGTGTGTGTGTGTGTGTTGGTATATTATCCTAATGTACGATTTAATAGGGTCTTGTTGTCCGTAGAACTTTGGATAACTTTAGAATCGTCAGCGAAACGCTTGAATTACACGTATATATAATATAATATATAACTGCAGGTCTCGGATTATAAAGCACCGAAAATAACTGAAATTTCAAAAATTCTTTCACCATTAGAATGCTGGAGTAACGTAGACTATATTTATTGCTAGAAAATATAGGGATCCCCACGAAAATTAAAATAATACGGTTTTTAGGTATTTTCGGTAATGTTTATTTATCTATTTACACTATTATCTAGCAATAGCAAAACATGTGCACTGTTTATTCTTATTTTTTCTGATTTGAGAAAAAAAAAAAAATCGTCTAAACAATATGCCTAGAAAAAAAAGGCTAACTATCTTAACATACTTCCCAAGCGAGATTAGCAAAAATACGTTGAGTTGGCGAAACTTCTTCTGAAATTTCAGATCGTCTCGCAAGTCAGAGATAGTACGCGTCGCAATTGCGGGCCAGAGGAACCAGCGCCGAACGTTCACTTCGTCTTACTGAGCAAAATGTCAGACCGTCACAGCTATACGAACGACAATTTAGCGCCGAACCCTCGCAGCGGCTTATGGCACAGAATGAAAGACAACAGTCGTTAACAACTAGAACGCGCAATAGAATTTTAGCTCATAGTAATAATAGATCGAAAAAAAAAAATAAACAATAAACAGAAATAAAAAAAGGACGGACATACTTCGCGCGTGGGCACAACCACTGTTGTAGGCGGGAAGTTGGGAAGACGGGAATTTAATGTATACCTGTAAGCAACGATAAACCATTGCCAACGAATAAACGGTTCTGAGCGGAGTTCAGTTGATAGTGTTGTTCTGTCAACAATATATACGTATGTCACATAATGGTGAAATGATAACAACAATGTGCGTTTCCATGACAACAACGATTGTTTAAAAAAGATTTTAAAACAATAAAAACTTAATAATAACTAAAAATAAATACAAACGGTTGCCGACAACAACTTTATTTTCAATCTTTCAATCTTTTCTAACCTAAAGCACCGGGTTTTTCTCATTATCTCGAATATTAATGAGAATTTCGAAAAATGACTTCTTTAAAGTACCACTCGGAGAACATTTCCCTTTAAATAAAAAAAAAAAAATAAACATCATTGTAAAACCATTACATTCCTCGTTCCACGCAGAATCTAAAATTCCATAACAACTATGATAACTTAAAATAAAGAGTCCGTCTGACTGTCTGGCGGTCTAATATTGACTTGAAATAGGACGGGCTATCCTGATAACATAAAAATACAAATAACCGTGCACTGTACCGGGCGGTTAAGTGAAAAGCGGAAACACGTACAACGTCGTCTTTGAATATTTGTATTTTTCGGTGCACTAGAGTATACTATTAATTTTAGCGTTATTATGGTGGATATAACATAATAGCTTGTAATAATGTATCTATGGTAACATGGATGAAAAAAAGTATGACGCACTAGAACACTTTTAGTCCACCGGACCATCCGACCTATTTGTTTTCGTTCGATATATTGATACGGGTAAAGCAACACGGGAATAAAGATAAAAGGAATAAAAAATTGGCACGGGAAACGCCGGGCGCAAGACAGCTAGATAAGAATTCGTAAATGTAAACTGTTCGACGGATCGATAGGCCGGGCTACCTAAAAATAGATAATAATATGAAATAAAAATGTAATTGTATTTCTTACGGATTCACATGTATGACAGAATTGTCCAATACTATATAAAAAAATAAGCTGTCCTAGGACAGCTTTTTCTGGGAACGGGTGCAGCTACTGTTAATTTTTATAAGCAACGATAAACCGTTGCTAATGAAAAACGATTCTGAGAGAAGTTCAGTTGATAGTGATACCCTGTCAACAACATACCGGGTGATTCATTTAAGTGGGTACACTCATTATCTCGGAAAGTATTAATTTTTTTTCGGAATTTGTTTTATAGAACATTCAAGAAACAAGCAGCTCTACAATTTTTCATTTACGTTAATTTTTTATTTTGTGGGTTAAAACCACTACCTAATTTTAAATTTTCAAATAACAAATAAAATAAATATTATTTAAAATAAATTGTAGTGTTGAAATTTTTGATTTCTGTAAAGTCGTTTACGAGATATGTCACTTTTAATTTTAGGTTAGAGAAACGTAGTCGTGCAACATTAACACACCGCGCGCCGTACCGCCACACAAATGATACTCCACATCTCTCCTCCAATCCAAACTTAAAAGTGGAATACCTCGTCAACGGATCGACGGAAATCAAAAATTTCAACACTAAGATTTACTATTACTAATAATTCATCTATTTTTGGAATTTTTAATAAAGGTTGTCGTTTGAAAAACAAAAGTAGGTAGTGGTTTTACCCTCAAAAATAAGGCTGACAAAAAATAATATAAATATAAAATTGTAGAGCTGTTTGTTTCTTGAATGTTCTAGAGAACAAATTCCAAAAAAAAATTAATACCCTCCGAGATAATGAGTGTACCCACTTAAATGGATTACCTAGTATGTATAAATGAATCATTTATGGGCATTATATATTTTCTTTAATAATATTTGTTTAATGTACTGATTTTCCGATTTGTCATCTGTTTTTTTTTTTTTTTTGGTTTTCACATTTGCTGAGAAAACTCCTGGAAAAATCGAAAAAATATCTCTTCAAAGTATCTCCCCAGTTAGATTTCCTTTGAGAAAATGTGTTATTATTGTAGATCAGAGAAAAATGTGTGGTAAAAAAGTTGCATACAGAAAAAAAAAAAATAAACATATTTGTAAAACCATGAGATTCTTCGAAAAAACTCACACCACAGGAAAGCTATAATAGATATACGGTGCCCATTATTCTTGAAGTCGACAAATTTTGGGAAGAGCTGGCCAGAAATTTGTTCTAATACATCTGTTATTAAAATAGAATCCGTAAAATGTGTACTCGATCGGTCCTGAAATTAACAGGCTTTGCATCGAGCACAACGGTTTATTGAACAAGTGAAACGTGTTGTTTTTCAGCGTACACTTTCTTAAATTCGAATATTACAAAAACAATGTTTTTGAATCTTTGTTGCATCGAACTGATTGTTTTTAGATGCTAAATTTATTATTTCTAGAAAATTAAATCTGCGGACTTCATTTTTTGTGATTTATTTTTTTTTTTTTACCTCCCGATGATTAAATTATTGACCGGCTAGAGGACACTCGGATGTAGAGAAAGAAAAACCCGGTATGCCTTAAGCCAATTGAACGATATAACGATATTTACCAGGTTTAACGATTTATTTAAAAAAAATAATCGCACTGTACATTTTCAAAAAGTTCAGATACATTGGATGAATTTTCGTTATCCTTATTACGATCCATCAGTTTTCTCGGAGAATTTCATGTAAATTTCACTTTTGTTTTTTATCTTTTTATTATTTTTTTCATTTTAGTTAAAAACTCCAAAGGATTATGGAACCGAGTAAATTTTTAATTTCACACGTTTACCTATACTCTTTGTATATCTTAAACGAATGGTGTAATAGCATTTGATTTTCAAACAACAGCAACCCCCTTCCTCCCCATTTTCAGTACAATATAGTATTTAAAATAAGTAAAAAAGATTAGTACGTTTGAAATTTATTTTTAGATAAATACCCTTTTCCTACTCCTCCGGTGCAGACATAAAACTACATTACAACGCGTAGACGGTGTATTCGCCATTGTGTTACGTGGCGTACTGAAAAATAAACGTATTCTCTTAACGAATTTGGTTTGAAAAACGGAGGGAAAACATTTCGCGTGTCGCGTGATTAATGGTGGCCGTTACCCACGCCCGGAACAGGGGAAAACAATAATACCGTAATAATTGTAGGCAAAGAAAAATAAAAAAAAACGATCGACGATTCTATACGATGCGGACGGAAAAAACCAAAATCGTTTTTACTCGGAGACCGCCGCCTGCGCATGGAATTGTGCGTAATATTTGTATGTATGCGCGTTTATATTGCACCGTCACGCGTTTTAAACCGCGGCGTGCTAAAATGTTTAACTTTTTTTCATTATCTACCGAGTTTTATAACATATATTATTATACACTCTAGCTTCATATATATATATATATATACGTATATATTTGTACGCTGCACAGAAAGTGTTTTGGTATGTTATATCGCCTTACAAAAGCTATCAAGTAGGTACCTATACGAAATTATTACTGTTATAATAATCGTATAACAATAAGGTGAAAAAGCCGTCGTTAAAAAGAAAACAGATCGACGATATTCGTATTTAAGTCGCGAATTGTTAATGTACACGAGGCGTTCGGCGGCAGAAGAGCGTGATAAAATTTAGGTTTCCCCCCCCCCCACACACACACACACCCGCCGCCGCCACCGCCCGTCAAAACCGACTTTTGTACGCGGATAATAGCCGACGGAAAAATACCGTCGGGTGTGGGCAGACACGCGCATCTGTACGTTTGTGTTTCGACTGTTGTCTGTCGGCGGCGCGTTGCGCGTAGGACCCTCCGTCGTACACAGCGTTCTATCCGGTCGCTCGAACGACGTCGGAACGCTGCATAATGAGCGGCCCTCCGACGGGTTGCCGTGGAAACGTGGCTCCCGTCCGTTTCGGAAACGGATTCGGTACGTCCGGCGCCCCCTGGCGGTCCGACGGCGCGCGACGGGCGTCCGCGCGCCGCGTGACGGGCGGTCGAGCGGCCGTTATCCGCAGAAACGCCGAACGGCACCGCCAAAGGGGGATCGCTTCCGCGGGTAGATGTCGGGCATGGGACGCGCGCTAACGTTCGAACGGTGCGGGTTCACCGTTACGGGCGTTTCGCTGGACACGGACCGCGCGCGGGAAACCCCGCCGCCGGATCGGCGCGGGCGCAGCACTTGAGATTTTCCGCGCGGTTTTTTTTTTTTTACGCGGTATTGTCGGGAAACGCGATCGCGGGCTCGACAACGGCAATATCGCGGGACGTCGCGAGAAAATAACGACCGTCGAAAACCCTTAACGTCACACCGCAGTGCCGCGTAAACTATCGGTCCGGGTGTTGCACGAGCAACAATTCTCGATTAACGGACGGGCGTTGCTAGGAAGACAAACGTTATCGTCATCTGTTCCGAAGACACCCCCGTTTCACGGTACAATAAATAACGGGAGTACATTTTAACGGCATTCCATCAACAGGCGTCACCGTATATTGGACCGGGTAGGTCGCCCGAAATCATTTGAGCGACACCAATATTTTTATTTTTTTTTTTTTTCATTTCTCTATACGCGCCACCGATTTGCCGACACAATGCGCGCGGGTTCACGTACGGTGTCCATCGGAATGATAATCGTAACGCCGGAACCACGCGCGAGAACTTTACCGCGTGTAAAAAAAAAAAAACAGTTTTGGCGTTTTTACCGCCGCATATAATTATTATATTTACTCCGTTCGCCGCGTTGTTATTATTCCTATTACCGTTATTATAAAGTGTCGGCGTAATTTTTTTTATTACGTTTCCCCGGACATTTTTCGGTAGGACGGGGGCAGGTTTACGGTACGGGACGTGGTTTTTTTTTTTTTTTTACAACATCCCACGAGAACGAGAGTAAAATACTAAACCGCGGGTCCCTCGACGAAACCCATCGTTGTTTTAATTGGTCAACAAATAAGTACTCGTTGTAATCGTATAATTGACGAAAATAAGTATTGTCGTAAAAAAATGTCGACAATTTTTTCCTTTTACGGCGTACTGCAGTGACGATGAACATATTGGTCATAACTGGACGGCCGAATGGAAAAACTGCTGATTACCTTAAGTTTTATTTCAATAAAAAAAAAAAACTCGTCTGTACGACATGCATAACCTAATACCTTTATAACCTTAAAAATGGAATATTATCTTTTACACGTTCGTTATACGAATCTGCGGCCTACGGTTGCAAAGTACCCGTCCGAGTTTATTTTTCGTATTTTCAGAATACCATCATTTTTCCGTTCAGTATTCAATTGTTATGTTCCTGATTACCGTCACTGTTCGTACATTTTACAAACAAATTGCATCCGATTCCGAAAAATGTGTCTATAGTTTTTTTTAAAAAAAATTAACAAACGTATCGTATACCGTAACCGGCTTCACGCAAATCAAAATGCACAAAATCGACAAATGTAACTACAATAAGTTTATCCAGTTACGTGCTATTGCGAAAAGTGCGTGGGTACGATAGATTCTGCCGAACCGTTTAACTGAAACCCAAAAGTTTTTTTCTATAACACCCCCCCCCCAAAATCAAATTAATTTCTATATACGGCACTGCGCGGTGAGAACGAGTTTTGATCGCTCGGAAACCAAAAATATTTACAACGCTCAGAATCACAATGTCCGGAGAATCGCATAATAAATAATTAATTTATCAGGACGCATTAGCAGGGACATATCGGTTTACATTCGCTAGATATTTTTATTTTTTTTTTTTGGATTCCGAGCGCTGTGGGCAATTTATATATCGGGTGTTTGTAATGTTTCCGTTTTGGTTTTTCTGTTACAGTCGGGTTATAAATAATCGTAGGACCCAACATTTTTCGCGGAATACGGCATTTCGAAACATCATGCACGCAACCGCATTTCGCTCAGAATCGTATTTCATTAGCAATGGATTATCGTCGCGTAAACCAAAATATAACTCTATGTTTCTTATTACCCACACTTCTCGCCCACGACAACGGTACACACAAAAGCGGTGGGATCAGCTCTTTTTTCCTCGCCGTGTTTTTGGGATTTTTATTAACAAATCCTTACGAATCGTGTACGCGTAACTGGAGACGTCGTTTACGGAGTTTTATTTTGCATATTTTCGTTTATTTGTTGCACGTTTCAACGAGAATTGTGGGCTGCCTACACGGCGAAATGTGTCAACGCCACCGAAACGACAATACGCCCGCCTTAATTGCTCGGGAATTTCGGGGATTACACAATAAATAATAAAATAACGTTCAACAATCGATTTCAAAAATAAATAATATAAATACAGTTACCGTGTGTGTGTTACACGACACTCGTCGTTTATTTACCGACCTGCTGGATTTCGTTAAACGGGTACGATTGTTTTGATTTTTCTACGGCATTTTTTTACCGTCCGGACACTCTGGTGATTTACCCGCGCCCTACAATTTATCATACAACCGTACGGTGTGTAAACGGCGCGGGGCGAATAGAAAACGGTAAATTTCGACGACGGCGGGAAACCGCCGGGTTCTCGGCCGCGCGCGGGCCGCCAATGCGATCAGCTAGGCGCACAATGTCCCCCCCTCCCTCACCCTCCACCCGAAAACCCGCGCGGCCGGCTCGCGCTAAAACTGTACCTCCGGGCGTTTAATACGTCCGTGACGCGATTACAAAAACCGTCGGTCGTCGGCGTCCGCGCGACCGCCGCGGCGCTTAATTTTCAGGTCGTTTGGCCGTAATGCCCCGCGGAACGAGGCGCGCGCGCGTACAGGGCCATTATTGTATCGCGCGAACGCCGGTTTCACCGCGCGCGTGCCGGTCCCGTCGGAAATGGACTCCGTCGCCCCGACCGCTTCGGCGGTAGCGGCGGCTGCGGCGGCACGCGGAAAATCGGCGATAGCAGCGTGTGTATAACACACAACTCTTTCCGCACAATGATCGGATGATGGGGTGCGGGAGAAAAGAGGAGGAACGACGACGACGTGGCGACGGCCGGGAAAGATCGGGAAAACGAAGCGGGGAGTTTGATTAGTGTATATATATATATATATATGTACACATGAATAATAAGGGTAAAAAACGGTGTGCGGCGCGGCACGGGGGCAGTCGATGGATTTCTTTCCTTTTATTTTTTTGTTTTTCCGGACGAGCGGATGGGCACGCGGTAGACGAAATAAGGCTTAAAGGGGGTCGTAAAAAGACGATCGGCTTCTTTTTTTCTTTTTTTTTTTTTTTCCCACTGCAGTTCGTCTCGGTCCCTCTTTTATTTTATTTTGCACGGCGGCGCAGAAAACGCGAAAAAGGGTTCGGCGGCGGCGACACGGTGCAGTGCAGCGCAGAAAAAGGGGCCATCGCAATTAGCCGCGGGTATAAGATAAATGAATCCACTTATTTCCCGTCGTCTCGATGTCGAATCAGCGGCGGCGGCGGGATATATAAGACGAAAATATATATATATATATAAAAAATAAAAAAAATAAAGAAAATAAAAATAAAACAAAAAAATAAAAACTCTCCGAGCGCTCCTATCCGCGGGGCGAGATCAGAACCCGACGGAATCCAGATTAATAAGGATCAAAAGTAATACGAAATTCGCATTGCCCGTCACTGTGTAGCAGTCGACGCCATCTGTATTTCGTCGCTAATATT